TCTTTATCAGCAAGAGGTAGATTAGATATAAACGTGGTTGATGAACTAAGAGAGAAGCCAAGAAGTAATAAAATGTTCCATGCGGGGGTTTTATGATATAATAAGATAGATTACTTAGACTTTGAATCTAGAAAAAAAAAAGTTGAAATTTGTGAAGGTTTGCCTTACATAGGAAAGGCCAATCATTGGGTGAGAAGTGAGGGAATGAAAGAAAATTCACATGGAAAATTGTATTAAGTGTGAGGATTTTTGGACCCATAGAGGGGGCCATGCTCCCCCCCGAGTCCCTCTGGCTTCGCCCTTATCCCTTCCCCCCTCTTTTTCATGGAGAAAAGACATTAGAAATTTACAGATAAAAAAAGTAATTTGGTGTACGCTATTGATTACTGAGATTGGAAGAGATTGTGTTGTTATCCTGTGACATGAATTTTTATTTTACAATCAAAATATTTAGGCGCTGTTTGAATGTATTTATACTTTTGTACTTTCAATAATACCAAAGTACAAAGAAATATAAAATGCTTTTACTTTGGTATTTTTGTTTTGAAAACCGTTTGAGTAAAAAAAAAAATGTAAAGTATGCTTTTAGAAACAAAATTTTGTGAAGTATTCTTGCTTGTTTGGTAAAAGCATGTCTATTCATGCTTCCGGTGATGGTTTCCGATGGTTTGATGGTTGAGACCGACAATGGCAGTCTAACTCTAGTAGAGGTGAGCAGAAGTAGGGCCGAGAGTTGTATCGGAGGGTGGTCACGTGTACAAAAACGGAAGTACTATTTTGCCAAACAACATAAAGTATAAAAAGTCGATTTCATCCTTTTAGAGGTTTTCATACTTTTATACTTTCAAATGTATGAAAGTACTTTATAAAAATCTATCCAAACAGGGCCTTAATTAATTATATGTTTTCCAATCTTATCACTCAAGCTGCATCCATTATATATAATATATAATTGGCTAGAGAAACGCGTGGGATCCTCAACCTATGTTGGTATTTGCTAATTCCCCAAGCTCTATTGGATGGCTGAGACATTGTGATGAAATGAGTGTGATAGGGGTTTGGGTTGAACTGGACTCAATTCAATTAATACTGATTAATGGATCTGCTTCAATTCCATGCTCCTTGTTGCTAATTTGAAATAATGAATATATGGAAGCAGTAATTAACATTACGTTGTAGTAGAAAGTAGAAACTTAATTCACATGCATGAATTCATGCATACAAATAAGCTACACTGATTTAAGTTGAGCAAGATTAATGTTTTTGGGTTTATCAAGGGATTTCAGACTTTGGCTTCGTTTGAGTTTTGATAAATAATTTATTTAGGTAAATGTAATTATTTGGACATGTGTATCCTGGAAAATATGTTTATCTACGGTTTTTAAAAACGAATTGGTGACTGAACTGGTCAGGGGTCCGGTTACTGATTCGAATGGTCTGGCTATTCGACTTGAACGAACGGTCAAAACCATTTGAATGGTTAATTGGCCGGTTCAGCGGTTTACTGTCTAAAATCAACAGTTTTGGGGGAAAACAAAATCGGTCAGGTGATCGATTCTTGATTTTTCCGATCCGACCGTCCGGTCCAGTCCGGTTTTGAAAACCATGTATTTATCTGGATAAGAGCATTTATCATTGTTTTTGTATTTTCAAGTAAAGGTGTACAATGACCAATTTATCCAAAAAGTGAAATTATTAAAGAAATAATATTATCTAATTACATATTAAGGATTTTCAGCATGCATGAAAAAATAATTTACCCAAACCTAAGGAGAGTATTATTACTTCTCGAGGTAAATGAGCTTCTCTTGAATCTTTTTTCTTTTTTTTTCATGGAACTCATTAATACTAAAAAATGAACACAAATTTATTTCTTTTCTATGAAATCTACCAATTTCCCTGTCCCTATTTCAGAATGAGGCCTTAATGTCCCAGTTTCTAATTCACTGGGAAAACTGGAAAACCTGGTAAAATAAGTTGGATTCTCTGAAAAGTAATCAAGATCATGAGATGGATCACTTAGAAAGCAATCAAGATAAATAAGTCGGATTCTCATAAAAGCGAAAAGATCATGAGATGGGTTACTTAGAAACCAATCAAGATAAATTATTGAACCCCTCACCCCTCTCAAATAAAAAAGATAAAAACCCAGCAGTAAAAAAATATCTCGAGAGTGATCAAACCTTTCCCTCGTCAATTTATGCTGTGATATATATCCATGGTCATGATCCCTAGCTCTATTATATTAGAGTTAAAAACAAAAAATCTCCAGAGTGATCTATCAATTCTTTAGAAGAATAGATAGATATCTTCTAAAAAAATGGTTAAAGAACTAGCTAGATGATCATGGCCATCTAGTTACTTTTCTTTTTCGTCTCATCCACATTTTGGTGGATTTTTTTAATCAATTATTGTATTAATATTTATATTAGAAGAGGAGTAGGAGCAGTGGTAGATCAAATAGTAATATTTACAATAAAATCTCATCTGTTCGGAAAATATCTGCTGGTCATTCATGGGGGTAACGCTGATCGATGGATGTTGCTTTAATTTCTAATAAATAATAATGATATTATTTGCTTAATGGATTGAATATATATTAATTAATAAAAATATGTTCCTTGAAAGTTCAAACGAAGAAGACAAACATTACAGTTTGGGTTAATACTGATGTAGTGTGATCGTGAATGGCCGAAGTACCCCCCGGATGCTTCTAAAATATCTGTCACCAAAAGATTTTATGGGTAATTAATAATTAATTTTGATTTGATAAGAAAAAAAAAAACCCAAATATCATACATATATATATAGTAAATTTTAATTATAAGAACCCTAGCTGCTATCACAGTGAAAACGACCAACAATGGGCCATTATTTGAGTCAATAATCGTCTGTGGGCTGTGGTTGTATACCATTGAATGCAAATGTACTTAATACAGTTGCTATTGTCAAAACATTTTAAGTCATTAATTGGTTCGTGATTGGTTTCAGTCACTGCAAGGCCCGTTCGAATACTGTTTGAGCAGTCTTTATAGCCTTGCATCGGGAATATCTCCATACTTCTATACTTCATTTCATTGGGAAAAATTTTCAATGCAAGATTATGATGATTGTTTAAACGGGCTTTGCACCGACTAAATCCCATTTTCACAAAAGATCCAAAATGTCATTCCAATATCTTATTCATTTGAGTTTTAATGTAAAATGCCATGGGTAATAAGCACCGATTCTTGATCCTTTAATACATCATATATGAAAATTAACAAAGGTTAGATTATTTGAAGGATACACTGCTTAATTTAGAATTTTAATAGGAGGATTATGAGGGTTCCTTACGTGTTTAAAATAATTAGAGTTAAAATCTCAGTAGCTGTATAAATTTTCCAAAGTGTGCGTAGTTTTCAAGTTAAAAGTACTTCTGTATGTAGAGGCAAAAGCCATAGAAGTACTTTTCAGCCGGAAACAACTCCAAAATAATGAGCTTGGATTTTCTATACACAAGAATTCTATCCATGCCTACCCACACCTTCTTACAGTTGTGCATTGAGAATTCTATGTATGTTTGAAAATAATCATTTATGAAGAAATATTCCCAATGTACAACTGTAATGCGATGATAGRATTTTAGTGGACAGGAGATCTCAATTTCCAAATAAGAGCTCAGATCTTTGACTCGTAAGTATCCARCTACATACATTAGAAATCTTCGTACATGTAATATGAAGAGATTTCCAAATGTGTGGCTGATTTCCATGCTTTCAGAGTATACAGAGTTTTTGCAAATAGAAAATCTCAGTGTCAAAATAGTTGAAACTTATTCCCACCAAAATTGTCCCAACACTCTTTCAACATCATTGTGTCTATATATCACCATAACTTCATAAGACGTAACAAGATCTGCTCCTCACAAATGAATGCCTCACATACACATCCACTGTACATTAGGAATATCTTCCATGAATAATAAACAAGTATAGAAGATATTTCCAATAGGATGTGCCTGTGAGGCGCCTGGTGTGAGTAGCAGACTCAGACCATTAGTCTACGTGTATCCTCATCCAATGCCAGCTTCTGTTTCATTGTCGGCTTACCAACTGGCCCATTTKCCCCTGACAAGTGGCAATTTCCCCGAATATGATTACTTGAGCGGTTCAGCTTGAGGTCCATCTGAATGACAAGGGGCGTGGAAATGACAGAACTAATAAATATTGCTTTCAGGTTTCAGCAAAAGTTAAAAAAAAAAAAAAAACGGAAAAATACATTGCGATATAAAATGGACAAGAAAATCACGATACACGTGTATAATTAGATATCCACATCATCAATCATATAATGAACAAAAAGTGGCTTTCTTGCCACATGACATAGACTCCAAGTCCTCCATGGCTACAGTGCCATTCATAATATGCCACATCATCCTGACATATGGGTCCCATCGCTTCAAATTCAAAACATGTCTTCAGTCTTCACAAATGGGCCCCCAAATGCAAATGGATGGTCGGAGGTCAAGAACTTGCATGAGCTGAGAGTCTGAGACTTGAGAGTTGAGACCATTCCGTGATCAAAAGAGGAAGGTTCTGATTTCTGAATTCGGATCAAACCTAATCCTAATTTTTATCCCTAAGATAATCCGCAGATAATCAGATCAAATACTGGACAAAAGAGGGGTAGTCTGGGCATTTCATGTATTTAAATCAAATCGCCCTCTCCTCTCTTTTGATCGCTTGAGGTCTTTTCTGTTTTTCTTTGTAGTCATAATTCATAAACTTTCGGTTCCATGGTTGGTTTTGTCATCTTATCTCTGACCTCTCTCTCTCTCTCTCTCTCTGCAAGTGCTATTAACATTTAACAAATTCCCATTATTTTATTTTAATGTAAAAAATACGCATTTGCTTGTTTTTTATTTTATTTTTTACTGCAACTTTTACTCTGGCTTTCTTTTCTTCATTTTTTTTTTTGTTTCTGTTTTCAACCCTTGAGTAGTGTTATATATATGCTTAGTCACCTAACAATCTCTCTGCCACACACAAAAAAAAGCATCCATTTCCGTGTTTGCGTTCTTGAATCTCTCTGCTACTCTTGCTTAGATACTCATTTACAGCCTCGAAAACCGTTCTGTTGCGGTTTGCATCCTGTTCTGCTATTCTTTCTCTGTCTCTCATCAGTCTCAGGTCTTTTAAGTTTTAACCATACACAACAGGCAGATTCTCTTGTTTGCAAGTTCTCAAGGGTCTACTTCTGAAAAATGTAATTTTGGAGGTATTGGCTCCTTGTGTTCTGTAGTTTGTTGATTATTCGTATGCTTTTGTGAATGTACTCCGGTCAGTTTACGCTCATGGGTTCTCGCTAATTTCTCTCTACTTGATCTGCCGACATTTGACGTTAAGGTCCTCAGGAGATTTCCTGCAGTTTTCAAGTTTTCCCGCTTCGATTAGTTAATGCCCATTTGCGTTATATTGTTCTAGACAGCTCTGATATCAGTTCACAGTTATGAATCCTCGTTAATTCCTTTCTTCCTAATCTGTAGCCATTTGAAGTCCACTCTAAGAAACAACTCAGTTAGTTATAACATGTAAAAGTTTGACTATGTAATTGATCACTCAGATTATGATGCATTTCTGTTCTTTCGATGATCAAGTCAATGTGTAGGAACCTTTCTCAGAGGTAATGGATCTGAAGTCTGTCAAAGCTATCCGCTAGTTGAGTTGCTCAACACATGGAGGGTGCTTTTTTCTTCCGCTAATTATCACTTTTCTCAACTCATGATGGGCTCTGCTCGTTAAAAGTGGGAAATTTTTGCATATACAGTCGGCAATACATCGTACAGTCCATGTTAAATTGACAATATCAACCATGCTTTGATTTTAGATTCATTCATATTCGTTTGTTCTTCATTGCGAAATACAGAACTCATTCTTTTATATTTTTGAGATGTAATATTCCACCATTGTACAGAGTTTTTCATGGCCCAATTCAGGGGTCAGTATACGCAGAGAAAGAAATGGATACATACGTTTTCCTTTTCTTCCAAAATTGTTTGATGATCAAGAGTTTACTGTTTATCTGCTCATAGATTCTCATACTATCTTAGTAGATGAAACCATAGGTTCCATACTGACCTCTCGAGTCTCTTAAATCTACCTGTGTGTTTAGCATATTTCAGTGTTTGATCTTTTCTCCCAACTAGTTATTTGTCAAAAAAAAAAAAAAAAGGAAAAACGAGTATAATCCTACTTTGCACGTAATATCTACGGACCAATCATGGAAGAAACGTTCGTGCCCTTTCGTGGGATCAAGAATGATCTCGAAGGAAGACTGTTATGCTACAAACAAGATTGGACTAGTGGTTTCCGTTCAGGTTACAGGTCTGGTTTCCATCACAAAATATTGGTATATTATGTTCTTCTTTTGCTGTTCTCTCTGATTCTTGACCTTGGAATTTGGTTTTACTGGACACAAATTCTGAGTTATCATTATTCTTTTCTTTGTTTCTGTCATCATCAATTTTGAAGTACATGCTTCAGTAGTCTCTGTGCATGATCAGATCTTGAAAACACTAGTTTTTTTATTTACTATTTCCATGTGATTCAAGTAGAATCCTAATACTCCTCCAATTGTTCAGGATCCTTGCTCCCACGACATACATATTCTTTGCTTCAGCAATTCCAGTTATCTCTTTTGGAGAACAACTGGAGAGGAATACAAGTAGGAGCACGGTCTATTATCTGTTTTATTTGCTCCCTTGAGAGAACACTTGGTTAGACATGCTTCCTTCTCATTATTATTGCAGATGGAGTTTTAACTGCGGTGCAAACACTGGCATCAACATCACTATGTGGCATCATACACTCTATTATTGGAGGACAGCCACTGCTCATACTTGGAGTTGCCGAGCCGACTGTTCTGATGTACACATTCATGTTCAACTTTGCAAAGGACAGGCCAGATTTGGGGCAGAAGCTCTTTTTGGCTTGGACAGGATGGTAACTCCCAAGTATTTTCATTTCTCATGTTGATATTCAATTATATGCTTAGATGCCTTGTTTGTTAGATTCTTAATGATCTTTTCATTCCTAATGATATTTTCATCTTGGTTTGGGTTTTCAGGGTTTGCGTTTGGACAGCATTCCTGCTCTTCTTGCTGGCTATTCTGGGAGCATGCTCCATTATCAATAGGTTTACCCGTCTTGCTGGTGAACTTTTTGGTATGCTCATAGCTATGCTCTTTATGCAGCAGGCTATTCGGGTGAGGATGCTTTACCATTGTTATCTATGTTGGGCATTTAGATGGTAGCAAAGTTTTGAGCAAGATGTAATGAGGCATATGGCTCAATTGGACAGAAATCTTTCAGAACATTGTCACAATTCAATTTCAGCTTTCTGACCTAAAATAAATTCTACATGATCTCTGTGTGACTACTGATATCCCATTCGTTGTGTTTCTTTTTCTTTTTTGATATTTAGGGTTTATGAGCTATGATTTGCATAATAATCAATTTTGATAACAGAAAATGGACATGCATTTGTTTCTAAATTTACTGTTTTTTTTTATTATGACATGAAAGTTTCTAGTGAAAATGTTTGTTCACTGTCCAGTCTCAGTGGCATGGGCATGATATTCATAAATGCTATGTTTTTCGGGCACAGCCCAAGGAACCACTTAATTTCATTATTATAAACATAATAATTTGTTAAAGATGAAGTGTAATCATTTTTCTACTTAGTTCAGTGCCTTGGAACTGATGAACTGCTTCCTGTAGGGAGTTGTGGAGGAGTTTGGCATACCAAAGAGAGAAAACCGTAATCAGACTGCACTTTCACCATCATGGCGCTTTGGCAATGGAATGTTTGCAATGGTTTTGTCCTTTGGCCTTCTTCTTACTTCGTTAAGGAGCCGCAAAGCAAGATCATGGCGCTATGGAACAGGTACTAGTTATTTTTTGGACATGGGATTCATGTAGCATAGGGGAAATATGTATGTTTTAGTTGGTTGTTGATTAAGAGGTGGATTATGAAGAATGTTAGGGACAGCTATGAAATAATTAGTACTCAGTAGTAGTATTCTATGCTTTTATTTTATCTGTCACAGAAGAATTCAATATTCCTTAGAATTTAGTATGTTAAAATGATCTATTTTCCTCTTTCTATACACCTAACTGATAAATATTTTTCCAAACTATTTTAGGTTCGCTACGCGGATTCATTGCAGATTATGGGGTCCCACTTATGGTGCTTGTTTGGACTGCTATATCTTATATACCAGTTAACAGTGTTCCAAAAGGGATCCCACGGCGCCTTTTCAGCCCAAATCCATGGTCTCCTGGTGCTTATTCAAATTGGACAGTTATTAAGGTGCTTCCTAAAGTTTTATACAACAATTATAGTATTACCAGCAGCTTTTCCATGCTAAACTTATACTGGCCGCCCACATCTTTGTAAACCTTTATAGATTTTGCCAATACAAAGAAAAAATGTGCATTTTTTCATGTCATATTATACAAATGGTAACATAAATTGTTTGCAGATGCATTTTCTTGCATTAATGCAAAAATATTGGCCAAGGAATTCTTTGTGTTCTGCATTGGCATTGTAGCTTTTGTGGCTTGGAAGAGTCTCACGCTTATTTGACTTGGCAGGACATGTTGAATGTGCCAGTGCTTTATATCATAGGAGCATTTATTCCAGCAACCATGATTGCCGTTCTCTATTACTTCGATCACAGTGTAGCATCCCAACTTGCTCAACAAAAGGAGTTCAATCTTAAGAAGCCGCCTTCATACCATTATGACCTTCTTCTTTTGGGATTCTTGGTAAGCTATTATGATTGCCTTCTCAAGTTTTACTCCAACCTCAAGGTGAAATCAGTAGTAAAATTGCAGAGTGCACCTAAGGCAGTAGGTGCTCTTGTTGCTTAGGTTATGAATTGCATACCTTTCTTAAGCGAGGCAGAGTATTTTTCTTAAAATTAAAAAATGGGAGGAATTGCTAAATAAATGAAATAGGACAGTAAAAAAGTAATAGTATGTAAAATGGCATATCAACTCAATTGGTAAGATTATCATGCAATTAACAAAAGTCATTTCTATGGGCTCCATATTGGATACTTATTCAATTGTCTTTTTATCTAACATCTTTGCAAAAGAAAGATGTATGAGGAGTCATCAACATCAAAAATATCAACCGTTAAGAACCCATGTATATGATGATCAGCTGAAAAATCACATATATTAAATAAAAAAATCAAAATATGCATACCTATCTCTCAAAGAACCATTCAACCTAAAAGCTTAAGCTGGGAGATGAGGCATCTTTGATTGGGTTTTTATTCTCTAACACGTCCCTCACATGAAAGCCCGTTGGGCTTGAAGCATGGACAAGCACAGGCCAGTCCTTACCATGTGATGAAATTTAATTAATTATAATGCGTGGGGCAAGGATCAAAAACTAAACCACTTGGTCAAACAGGCTTTGATACCATCTCAAAGAACCGTTCAACCTAAAAGCTTAAGTTGGGAGGTGAGGTCTTTGATTGGGTATTGGGTTTTTATTCTCTAACACTATCATGCATATAAAACATATAAATATGAGAAGAAGATATGACAAGAGAATATACACTACATTATTTAAACATGCCTGGTGTATGTCCTGAAAAGCTAGCAATTCTATAAATAATAACTCCCTACCAACACAAATACATGAATGCAGGCATAAGCACTTGAAATCTGTTTTCACCAACTGCACATCATGTTGATTACATTGCCTGTGATGTTGGAGATATCTTTATATGTGTTTGCCTTATGTTTCTTATTATGTTTTTTGAGTAGGTCATAGTATGTGGCCTCATTGGCATTCCTCCTTCCAATGGTGTTATTCCGCAATCCCCAATGCACACAAAGAGCTTAGCTACCTTGAAACATCAGGTAAAAGTTAATTTATATGTATAAAAGGCAGAAACATTTTTGCCATTTTCTGTTATTTCTTCAAATTGGGAAAAACTCAGTTCTGCCTAGTTCTTGAAATTATCCAATGTATTGTCTTTTTTGGGAGATTAGTTCCTATTCTTTTGTAGCCTCAAAGTTCTTTCAAGTGTTGCAATTTCTTTGATGAATAACTTTCGTTAATTTTATAACTGTAAAGTTGATTAGTCATATTACAGACTTGCACCCCTAGGAGGTAGCTAGCCTCAGGTAACTCCCTCACAGTTTCAATTAAATCTACATTTACTCACTTAGCCCCAGTACATCTGATCACTCACCACCCTTGCTTTGCCAGACCATTCAAGTATTGCAATTTGCATTCCAATAACTAACATTCTTTTAGGGGGGAGCACTTGAACCAGGATTGGAGGATTGAAACATGATCCGTTCCTTCCTAGTGCTACCTTTGTGGGCATTTTCAAAGGTGACGGGTGACAATCATTAAATGATTTAATTGCAAAAGTTTTCCAAGGATAGAATCCTAAATGGATGGCCTTAGTTATCGATTATTTTGAAATACTTTTGGTTGATGCAATATGTGAGTTGGATGGATAGATAGGACCTTTTGATGTGAACAAAGTTTTGGCTTGCAGGGTGTCTTGTGATTCACACTTAATTTTTTCTTTTTGTACCCTGCATATGCAATATATCTGTCCTTCAATAAGAGAACACCTTCCTTCCATATTCCTGTTCTGCATTTAATATTTGCAATTTTTATAGTGTCTCTAGGTTCTTTTTTGCTTTCATGTCTTAAGAATTAACATAGGTTTTTTAAACAGCTGTTGCGCAATAAACTTGTTTCGACTGCTCACAAAAGTATCTGTAAAAATTCAAGCTTGAGTCAGTTGTATGGGAACATGAAAGAAGCATACAATCAAATGCAGACTCCATTAGTCTATCAAACTCCTCCTGGTCTGGTAAGTTAAGCTTAACCTAATGCTAAATAAAACTGGTACTTAAAATAAGATTTGACTTTGTCTTTTACCTCTCCTTATTGAATGCTGATATTTATGCTCTGAGCAGGGGCTAAAGGAATTAAAAGAATCCACAATCCAACTAGCTTCAAGTACTGGAAACTTTGATGCACCAGTTGATGAATCTATATTCGACGTAGAAAAAGAAATAGATGATCTTTTACCCATTGAGGTCAAAGAACAGCGGCTTAGCAATTTGCTTCAGGCCATGATGGTTGGTGGCTGTTTTGCTGCTATGCCTCTGCTGAAGAAGATTCCAACTTCGGTGCTTTGGGGATACTTTGCTTTCATGGCTATAGAAAGCTTACCAGGGAATCAATTTTGGGAGAGGATATTGTTGCTTTTCACTGCACCAAGTCGAAGATATATGTAAGTTTCTGCTTATTTTACTTGCTACAGGATGATGTTTGTGGTTTAGTCTTGTTGTCAGTTGTAGTTTCATTTCTAAGACATGCCTTTTGGTCCAACTTTGGTTTTTAGTTTGAAATATTCCAACTCTCATATGATTCCGGTAATACTAAGTCTTTTGACATACTGGAAACAATTTTTTCGTTAGACTCCTCTGAACATGTGATAGTCAGCAGTGCTTCACCTTTCCTTTTCCTCTTCAGCAATGAAAAGCATTAAAACTTGTAGGAAAAGTAGACATTTTTAAATAGATTGTTTCCAACTCTGGATGGATTAGGGAATGACACTTAAGCTTTTTCCCTGATTTGTGGATAATGATGATCTTAGGCTGTGTTTAGTTTGATAGAAAATAAGAGAGAAAGAGAAGGTTCTTAAGAATTTTCGTTCAACTTCCTATTTATTTCCTATTTTCGATCAAACCTAACATAGCCTTAGTGTAGAATATGTTTTGATTTTAGAAAGATTTTAAAACATTGGAAAGATATATTTTTAGACCAAGAAATTATCATAAACAAATTACTTTCAATCATATAGTCTGTCATTATTTTTATCATGTCCACTAACTGCAATTATTAAACTTGCCAGGGTGTTGGAGAAGTATCATGCAACATTCATTGAGACTGTGCCCTTCAAGGCAATTGCTATCTTTACCTTATTCCAGACGGTTTACTTGCTTCTGTGTTTTGGCATAACATGGATTCCTATTGCTGGAGTCCTTTTCCCACTGTTGATTATGCTTCTAGTCCCCGTGCGTCAGTATGTGCTCCCTAAATTCTTTAAAGGAGCCCATCTCCAGGACTTAGATGCTGCAGAATACGGAGAAGCCCCAGCTGTAGCATACAATATTTCATTTGATGTAAGTTCTTTAATTATTGCTTCCAGTAGCTCATACTTTACAACCCCATTACCAATCTAGCAATTCTTCTGTTTTCTTGACAGACCCAAGATGATTATGCAAGAAGTGATCACACGGATGGTGGGGAAATTTTGGATGATATGATCACACGAAGCCGTGGTGAGATCCGCCATATCTACAGTCCAAAGGTAACAAGTTCAACCCCAACTTCACAAGATGGCATAGAGCCTGTACACAGCCCACGGGTGCCACAAAGGACATATAGCCCCCATGAAAGTGAGCTAAGGGTGAAAAGAAGTCCACGATTTAATGGGACAGGGCCAGAAGCAAAACAAACTCCTAGTCCAGGGCCATCAATGCTTGGTCAACATCATCATGGTTCAACATCGAGTTAAAACCTAAACACTTAGTCCAGGTAAGTTGTCAGTTGTGCTCGAGAGGTCTCATTTTTAGCTTATGTAACTAAGGTTTATCTTGTAAGTGTGGCATATTTTGTATCTGTTTCTAACATGTAACAAGAGCATAGACATTGTCCATGGACACAAATATGTTACTATTTCTTTAATATTTACTTTAATTTGAAAAACAATATATGAAGAGGTACTTGCTTTCATCCTGCCTAATAATGGATTGGATTGTCTCTTCGTTGTTTCATGATCCATTTGGGTTTTCTCATTGTTTGACTTTCATATATAACTGAAATAACAGACTTGTAAACCTTAGTTTAGCTCAAGTAAGAATGGAGAAATGAAGGTCCAAGTAAACATGGCCGAATCAGTCTTTTTAGTCTTAACCACAAACAAAATTAGAAGGAATTCATATTCAATGCCATTTTAAAATTTCAAAATCTGGACAAATTCCAGAAAGTTGTAAACTATCAATTCTATTTTCTAAACCAGCCCAATTCTCAACTTAACCTTTTATCTGTTTCTTATGAAAGGACTGAACCTCTGCATAGTATGCATAATGACCACCAAAAAACTAGTGCTATCCCAATTAGAGGAAATGTAAGAAGTGAGGATCTATGATTGGAAAAGACCCCTATATATTGCAAATTGACATATCAATAGGCATGATTAGTTCTCATAGACATCATCATCATCAGTAGCAGAAACTTCATATGACCACCTAAGATGGGTCGGCAACACAAATCCTGTTCTTCCATTTGATATATGTATGGCTAAATAGATGATAAAATAGTTTTTTCCTCGGGACCTAAACTGGATTATTTTTGGCCTTTCTATTGTTTTTCTGAACTTTCAGTTTGCACCACCGATTGAGCATCATTAGGCATGATCAAAATGACACAATATAGTTCTTGCTATTGTGTTGCAGATTGGTGCTCCTAGTCTCTGATTTTATTCCTCAGTCTTATCATACATTAATACAATATCCCACCCCACCTCTTTGCATCGAATTAATGTTTCCTGACATGATTGATGGTCCAATAACGGGTCATCCAATTGGATCAATTTTGAGCCTCGGATATCCCTTGACAGAGCTTGTGTGGCATGGAAGGGACAAAGTGCCTCCTTGTCTATCTTTATGTCATGTCTCTCTAGTTGGCACCAGAGACTCTAATGTCCATTCACGTAATCAACTATGGCAGGAGAAGGGATTTACCTCTATTGTTGTCACCAACACTAACAGCAAATAGGAGTACTTGATGATTTTTCGTGTTTGGGCAAGAGCTACCCTTTCCTGAGATTTGTTTTTGGTTCATACTCAGCTTCCATATTCAAAAGTGTGTTGAATGATGGTTAAAGTTAGATCTATCAATGATCTCCCTTTTCATCATTTCAATGTGCTTTCCCCTGATTGTTAGTTGCAAAGGTTCTCTTTACAGACAGTTGGTTCCTTGACAAGGTAGGATTGTAGTTTAGGTGTACAGATTTTCCAATACATTCTTTTCTCTAGTGGTCATCTCTTAAGTCTTAATCACCACATTAACAACTAATAAATGGAAAGGCGTGAGCAAATGGAAAGTCATGGAGTATGACCTGGTTTTTGTTTTCTTCTATCAACTTTAATGGTTTCATTTGTTCTTTACATGGTACCTTGCTGAGTTAAGGTGCTTATCACTTTTCTAATTGCTCCACCAAAAGGAGGTCCATAAAAGAGAATATTCTATCTTTGTACATGGGGCTTTTGGAAGGATATACATGTGATGACACTGAGTGATTACTACTAGGGCTTTTTGGAAATTGGAAGGATATCCTTCAAGCCTAGACCCTTCACCCTTGCTGCTGTTGGATATAAAACCAGGGGTTCAATTTTGTTGGTTCTAATTTTAAGGCCCACTACATTAATTGGACCAGGCAAATGGTCTTATATTTCATTAGGCTTGGTGTAAAACGCAAAATATTCCTGAGCCGAGATTAAGTGAAGATTTATTTGCAATCTGTAATGGGCCCAAGACAGGGTCTGTATTTGGTAGAAGAAAACTTGAGGCTGAGGGGCTAGTACTGGATTTGACAAACCTACCGTGATCCAAGCTACCGGTTGTGTAGGTTAGGGGCTGATTGATAACTAACTTCAGTTTGGTGCGAAGTTTTTGAACCGCCTTTGATCCGGACGTTCAGACCGTTTGGCCCAAGAACTATCCAGGTAACTGGTTTTGTTTTACCCCAAATCTGGTATTTGGCAAAAAACCATTAAGAAACCGATAACCTGTTGATTCGGGTGGTCGAACCGTTGAGTTGATCCATTCAATGGTATTTTACCGTTTTTTATTTTTAATTTTGTTGTCAGAACGGGCCATCCGTTCGAAYTAGACGATCGAACCATTGACCTAGAAACTGGTGGCTAAAACGGTTCCGTTTCTAGGTTGTTTTTTAAAACGTTGGTTTGATGTATAAAAAGAAAATATTCCTTTGTTTTTGATGAATAATTTTTAATAAAACAATTAAGTGATAAAATATTTAAGGGTATAGTATAGTAACCTACCCAAATTCAGTTCCAAAAACCTATCCACGTGAATTCATAGATTCATGCCTTTTGACGCTGTAACTTTTGCATGGAGTTCATATGATATGGATTATTGTGTCATGCAGGAAGAGTTCAACGCTTGAACCTCGACAGCCAATTTTTTTTCCTAACGTAAAAATAAAAAATTGGTTGTTTATTTTTGGTAGTCTCTGTATCGCGTTTGTGCTCGCGCGCGTGTGTGATACACATACATTAGTTCACATAAACTGCGTGCAAGCGGTAACGATGTTGATTATCGTTCTGCCAGAAAAAACACAATGTTGATTGTTGGATGCATGATTGTATAGACAAATGTGTAGCCCATGGAACTGTAGAGGCTGTTTAACGTTGACAGCCAAAGTTTTCTCCCTCCAATCGAATTGATTTGTTAGTTGAGACAATTACGGGATTGGAAAAACAAACAAAAACTCTAACTACATAAAATCCAACCATACATTGAAAATATCTTTTATACATATATTCTAAATTCATAAAAAGACGTTCCTAATGTATAATTGGATGCTCATACTTGTAAATAATGTTTTCAATTTGCTATTGGCTCGATTGGTTGAACCGTTTGAATTGTTGTTTGGCTAGGATCTCAGGTCTGGTTTAGTCAAAATCTACTAGACGGTAAAAAACTGTTGACTTGGTCAAGTACAATTTACCCAACCGGTTTGATAGTTGACTTTGTTCAACCCGATGACTAGGTTGCGGGTTGCATATTCAATGCATACAAACTTTTGGAGGCCATAACTTTGCATTCTGATGTCCGATTGGGGTGATCTTTTTTTTTATTTTGGATGATTTTTCGAGATCTATGCGTCCCAAGGCACCCTGCTATTTTCGTGAAAAAAAAAACTTGTTGGCTTCAAATTGCAATTTTTATTATTTTTATAAATAAAAAATTTAAAAATAAATTAAAATACATAATTAAATATAAAATAATACATAATAACATATCTAAAATATAATTTATACATTATTTATTGCTAAAATATTAAAATATATACTTAATATATAGTTGCGATAATGTGGCATGATCTGAACCGTTCAACCTAGTCAGTCGAACCGGTAACCTGCGACTCAAAAGCAAAATCAGTTTGGTCTTTGGGTTGGTTTTTAAAAAGAGTATACAAGGCTTTTTCTATTATGAGATCCTGTCACATGAAAAATGGCAACCATCCCGAAAACCAACTTATTCTTCCGAGGGCATTCTTTTTTCGGATTTTGAGAAGGGGAAATGTTGGTCAATGGGATTTTGGTTCCCATTGACCAAGAATCCCATGTTCTTTTTTCAGATTTATGTAGGACCAGGGAAAGTTTATTTTCATGGGTCCTAGGTGGGTAAAGGTGGGTAAATAACTTTCCCATCTAGAGGGAAAGTTGCCAACACTTGAATGGGACAAAAATATCCCTTTTTAATAATAGATTTCTATGGTTAAAATGGTTATTGCCTTATTTACATGAAAAATAAAAGAACATGAACAAATGCATTTAATCGAGTAAATATTTTCTAAAAAAAACTTACCTAGATAATTACATTTACCTAAATAAATAACTTACCAAAAAACGAACGGACCTTAAAGTTAAATTCATTGAATAGTGAGTCTCGATCGTTCCAAATTCTAATGTAGGGTATATGACAAAAAGTCATGGGGTGGCAAGCTGGTGATGGCCCAACTCATCCATCATAAAATTTTGAGATATACCACGATCATGGTAATGCCATTTAAATTATCAACAATAGTTGCGTTTACATGTATGATTAGAGACAAAGGGTGCATTAATTATGAATAAAATTTCGGAACCTTCGTCTTGAAGTGATGCCCACTGGCACTGGGTTAACCCTGACCTGTAATTAGGGTTGTTAATGGATTGTGGGTAGGTTATTAGGTTCAACAGAACCGAACCAACCCGAGGTTTGGGATCAGACTTTTGTATCATGTATGGACACCATATTAATTTTTTTCATTTCTACAGAGGTTTCATTCACTTTTTATAAATTATTTATTAGGTAAGTGTTTTCATTTTTAATGACCATTTTAGTCATAAAATTTTATCATTAAAAAAAGCATTTTTGTCCCATTAAAATGTTGTAATTTTTTCCCATAAAGTTATTTATCCACATGTAAAACGGGTATAAATAAATGATACTCCAATAAAATAAATTTTTACTGATCTCCACATAAATGTGGAAAAAAAAAACCTTAAACAATTAAACACCCTTTAAGCCTGAGACCAGATCTACTCCTCACATGCACTTCACATGTGCCTCATATGCACATCCTACCATGCATTGAGAATATCTCTCGTACTTGTAAATTATTCTTAACGGAAGATATTTCCAATGCACGGTAGATATACATGTGAAGCGCCCAAGTGTGAGGAGCAGATCCGGTTCCTTTAAGCCTGACCTGGCCTGGCTCAGCACACAAATTTCTAAGCTTTAATACCCAGTCCAAGATTCATCATTGGTTCCATTTCGAGTATGGATCATCACCTAGATCTGATTAAAGATGCAAAATAGTATATTGGGTGGGCCGTGGGCGCATCATGTAGATGCAAAGAAGAAAGATCCATCCTATCCTAGGTTAGGACAAAACGTCAATGGGTCGGGTACTCGGGTATAGTAAGGGGGAAGCGATTTCAATCAAATGCGGGTTAAACCAGTTAACCCAGCCCACTGAGACATCCTAACGAGCACCTTCTAGTCCTAGCTGCAGCACAAGGATTGGCCCAGATATGGACGGATCACGGATGTGGGAGCTACGATCAGGATGATAGATCAGACATGGTTTTTGAGGGGCACAAAAAATCTGAAATTCTAAATGTCGTCGAGCAGCAGAATTTTGTGGTCAGGGTGGCGACAGAGCAGTAAGTGAGCAGAGCAGGGTGGTGCACGTGAGGCCCACTGGTTTGGTTTGTTAAAATCCCAAACCTCAAATAATCAGTGTGACTTTCTCTGTTAGTTTTGGATCTCCCCGCAGAACGATCAGTTCAGTTGTAGCTTGTAGGTAGGACGCCGTATACAATGAGGCCTCAGATCGTCTTATTTGGAGATTCAATCACCGAGCAATCGTTCGGACCAGGTGGATGGGGAACCGCTCTTGCTAACACTTACTCTCGGAAGGTTCGACACTTCTACTTGACTGTGTTTCCTTTTCTTTTTTACTATTTTCTTAATTTCTTTTGCTATTTTTCAATTATAAATTCCTTTTTTTTTGTTGGGTTTAGCGGAACCCATTTCGAATCTTTAGCGTCCTGTTCCTTTCTTTTCCCATTAATTTTTTCTTCCAAAAAACATCTTCTGTTATTACCTTCGTTTTCCTCCAGAGCCACACTCTATGATCACCTCAGAGATGGTATCGTAATTCATTTCATCTACTTTTTTCCCTTATTACGTGCAGGCCGATGTGCTTGTTCGCGGTTACGGTGGATACAACACCAGGTTGGCTTTGTTCTTGTTACATCACATTTTCCCGCTGGTAAGAGTGGAGAGATTGTTAGTTGTTAGTTGTTAATTAGCAGTTTGATAAGAGAAATAGTAATGTAATGTTGACCTCTCCCTTTTGAAGAAATTTGCTAGATCAGGGATCAGGGGATAGAAGAATGTATGTTCTAAACGTTTCGATTGCCTAAATAAAATATTCTTTTTTTCCAATTCTGGGGTATGATTGTCAAACATGGAAACCAGAGCCTAAAACCAATTTTTATGCATGTTCTTCCTGTGGAGTTTTGAAGTTACTTCCTTGTCTGGAAGAAGCTCAGTGGGAGAAATTTTATGAAAGGGGTCATTCATTGGGACAGAACCATTAGTGGATGACAGTCACGTTTCAAAGGGTTTCACCCTTCAAGGTGATCAGCCTCCAATGCAATTGGATAAGATATTGTTTTTAGTGATATAACTGTCAAAAAATATAAGCCTTTAACGAATAAAAGTAAAAAAGAAAGAAATATATGTATATGCACAATCTGAATCACGGACTTAGGACTGGAGCACTATGAAATTTTGAAAGATGCATTGCTTATTTTACTTTTAGGTTTTAATTAAAGCATGGCGTCATGGCCTAGGCATGATGAGTCAGATAAAGAGAGCATAAACAGCAGCATGCATCAAAACAGGATACAAGCAGAAGATTTAGAAAGAAAGGTTAATTAATAACTATGCAACCCCAAGTACAACCATATGTTGAAAAAAGACCTACTTTGAAATGGACAGGCCCAAAACTACCCCATTTCTTCTTACACGACATTTGGCCAAAGAATATAACTAAATTATAAGCAGACTGCATCAATGGATGAGAATTTCCTCCTTGCTGCTAATGCTCTTGCCTCTCTATGGTGATGAGGAACAAGCCAAGGCTCCACTTTTCCCATCTCTCATCCAACCAATCACGACCCATAAGCCTTCTATAATAAAGAAACTCAAATATAGCCCTGCTGACCTGCTTCTGAACCATTTGACCCAGTAATCACATTGGACATATTCCCCCTGCTCTAGTGACTATCGGCCCTAACTCTCAATCTGGCTCAACTTAGATGGTAGTACTTTCACAGAACCCACCTTGCTCTGTCCCACAAATAGTACCCTATACTCAACGAAGGCTATATTTACAAATGTTTCAGTACTACAATGTCAATGGACTAGGATTGACTGATCTTAACCCAAGACCTGATTAGGGCTGACCTGACTTTGACCCAATATAGTCAGGTTAAGACAGGTTTACCACTTAACTCTACCCACTGAAATCCCTTAACTACAGGGGTGTCTTGGCACATTAGAGTGTACATCATTTTTAAGTAAAACAG